GCAATAGAGTATCACTGACTACAAAGCAAAGACCCAGCTGTCAGATTTACAGGGACAAAAGCAGACACAGGTAACAGTACACAGAAGTGTTTACAAGCGAAAATCTACCACTAGATTACAGATTCAGGAGCCTTCCTGGTATCACTAGAGAACAAAGAACACTATCAGAGCTGATCTGACATGTGCCAGGACAAAAAGAGTAAATTCAAGTGGCTAGTTCCATACAGCTTCCAAATGTTAGGCTACAGTCCTCTCCTGGTTCCGATGCCCCAACAGACAACTATCATTGGAAGACTCTCCTGTTCCCTGGACAGACATCTGTCAAAGCACTTTGTGACACACAGAGGAACAGGGAGATGCAACAGGAACAAAGGCGGCAGGAATTAAATGCTTGCTGGCAATCTCACACAGAGCAGAAACTCAGATGAACCCAAGAAAAGTCAGTGGCCTTGCCAAGTGATGTGAGTGCCACAGTAACTTCAGATCACTTGAGCTTCAGCTGGACTTGGGAAAGGCTTCTCTAAAGCCCCTTCCCTGAGGGCCACCCCAGCACCCAGTGGTGGAGCAGCACTGCCCGGTGTGTCCCTCCTGCAGCACTGCTGAGCAAAATAGCAGGAACAAAGCAAACACCAGCCTGGATCAAAGGCCCTGAATGACCTGCGTTAGGAACCCAGAACAAGGGATAAAACAAAACCCTGAAACACATGGTTTACTACCAAAGCAGAGCACAGAGCACAATGCGTACTATCCTAAAAGTACTCGAAATGTGACAGACATGATTTCAGCTCTGTCAGGACAAGTTAAAAGCACACGAGAGTGGTGGGGAGTGCCCATAACTCTCCCCAGGGGCAGCCAGCCTGGTACCAGCCCTGCTGAAATAGCCTGAATGCCCAAGCAGAGCACACAGCACGGCCACATTGGCACCAGACAAGATGCACTGCTGGCACCACTGCAGTGCCAGGATGTTTTCTTAGTCGGAGCAGATGCTGCTTTCAACAGGTCAGAGAAAGGGCAGAGCAGGGGGACACACATCTGCATGTGATTCACAGAAGCAAAGAAGCTCCGAGCCTGGCCACGGACTGAACTGCCTTCTCTGGGCAAGGGCAAGCAGCTTCCAGCAGTAGGGCAGAACAGACAGCACAGGGGAAGCCTGATCTTAAGTGCAGCCGACCGGAGGCAGGGGAGGAGGCCGAGCAGCCAGGAAGGGCCAGCACAGCTTTGTTCGGCAGCTCCCGGCCGAGACTCCCCTCGCAGGAGGGCAGCAGCACAGGGGAACACACAGCCCCGCACCGCTCACCACACTGCCCTGAGCTCAGCACAGGCAGGGTCTCCGCGGCCCCCCAGCCCGCCCGCACCCCCAAACCACAGAGCCCGGGCAGCACCGCCCTGCCCACCCCGGGACCCGGCCCCAGAGCCGGGCTCACCCACACCGAGCCCAGCGGCCCCCCACACCCCGGGGCACCCCCTAACGCGGGCAGCGCTCCCTGCAGCCACAGCCACCCCGAACCCAGAGCAACCCCCGTGCCCACAAACACCCCGAACCCGAGACCCCCCTACACCTGCCCGCAGCCCCCGGGGCGCAGAGCCCCCCGCGGTCGGGCGCGTCCCCCACAGCCGGACGGCACTCCCCGAGCCGGCCGTGCCCGAGCCCCCCCGCCGCCGGAGCCGGGCAGGAGGAGCCGGGGCGGGCCGGGCCCCGCGGCCGCCGCACTCACCGCCCGCCCGGCCGCTCCGCCGCCGCCGCCGCCGCCGCCGCTACGGCGACCCGCGAGGGCCATGGCGGGCGGGCGGGACCGTTGCCGGGAGACGGGTGGGACCCGCTCGGCGCTCGGGCAGCGCCGGGTAGGGCGCTCTGCCCGGGGAAGGGGCAACGGGCAGAGACCCCTCGGCGTCCGCGTGAGCTTCCCCCGGAGAAACCGAGCAGGGCCTGGGCAGCCGGCCAACCGCCGGCCAACCGCCCGAGGGAGGCCGGGGAAGACAACAACCCTCGGGGCCCAGCCGCGAATGCTGCCCCTGGAGAGAGAGGAGGAGGAGGAAAACGACACATGAGCGTGGAGTCGCCCAGTGCACTTTATGGTGCCGGTGGAGCGGGGTCGGGGTCAGGGCCAGCACTCGGGGACGGCGGGGCCGCGGTGGCTGTGGGGGCTCTGGGCCCGGCTTTGCAGGCGGGAGCGATCTCGGAGCTCCAGGAGTGCTGGAGCGTCTGCCACCAGAGAGATAGAATCAGAGAATCATGGAATGGTTTGGGTTGAAAGGGACCTTAAAGCCCATCTCATTCCACCCCCTGCCATGGGCAAGGACACGTTCCACTAGCCCAGGTTGCTCCAAGCCCCGTCCAACCCGCCCTTGGACACTTCCAGGGATGGGACATCCACAGCTTCTCAGGGAAGCCTGTGGCAGGACCTCACTGCCCTCACAAGCAAGAACTTCTTCCTCACACCTAATCTAAACCAACTCTCAATTTGAAGCCATTCCCCCCGTCCTGTTGTTGCCGATTAAGAGCTCTCTAACTCAGATACAGAGCCTAGTTTAGAAAGGAGACTTGTTTATTCTGTGCAGAGTGCAAGGTGGAGGTTTCCACAAATCAAGCCCATGAACTATCAAAACTTTCAACTATTAATACATTGTAGCAAACAAAGGAATTAGTGTTCATTGACTGCAAGTTACATAGTTCTTTTATTGATTAGTATCTATCTTTTATTTGTTCTCATGCTAATTAGATTGCATGCTCAATCTTTTTCTTCTTTTGGGTCCGTGGATTTCTAGGGTCGGTGGTCCATGAAGTCGGTGGTCACAGATCCCCCTGCCAGCATCACCTTTTACCCAGTTGGAGCTGATTCCAGCATAGTTGCTGAGCTGGGTTTGTTAGTTTCTTCCTTATCTTGGGACTTCTGCCAGATGTCCTTGTGGCCCATAAATTCTGCATTCTTTATGCCCACTGTCAGTGGTCTCCCCAAGCCTCGTTAACCTCCCCCTAGGTCTGAGATCATTGAAGCATGTCCAGCCTTCCACTAGACCAGGTTGCTCCAAGCCCCATCCAACCTGGCCTTGAACACGTCCAGCTCTGCCTTGGCCTTCCTTACCCCATCCCAACACAACTATCCTTCATCTCTATATGCTTCCCAGGTCACCTGTCCTCACTTCAACTATCTATGCATTTGTTTCTTTCCCTTTACTTGGACCAGCAGGTCCTTACTCAGCCATGCCAGTCTCTTCCTTGCCCAATTTCTTCCTCCTAGGCATTGTTAGCTGTGGTGCTCTAGGATCTCGGAGCTGCAGGAGAATCCCGATGGCAGCTGGATGGTGGTGCTGTGGCTGCTGGTGTTGGATGTCAGCAAGCTGTGAAACGGGTCAAGCTCAGGATGCAGCTCTCAGGATTTGGTGCTGGCACAGCAACTTCCGGACTGGCCTTATGGATTCTGGGCCTGACATTGTAACTGAGAATGGTTATGTGTGTGGTCAGGCCCAGCAGTGCTGGAGCAGCTGCTGTCCTCATGTTCTGGGGAGCTGTGGGATGGCTCTGATGCCGCCTGGATGTCCCAGCCCCTGTAATGGGCTGCCCAGAGGGGCTGTGAAGTCTCCTTCCCTGGAGACATTCAAAACATGTTTGGAAGTGTAACCCACTCTGGGTGAACCTCCTTTAGCAGGGGGTTGGAATAGAGGATCTCCAGAGGTCCCTTCCAACCCCATCTGTGATTTCATGATCCTCCCTGCCTGCACCACACTGGTAAGGCTGCATCTGAAGTACTGTCTCTGGTTCTGGGCTCCCTGGTACAGGGGACAGAAGCGACCTTTGAGCCTGGCCTAGGCTCACACATCCCATCTGCTCAGACACAGTGGGTGGCCAGGGCACCACACAGGACCTCAGGATGGCACCTAAATGTCACAGGTGACTCAGCATCTTTCTCCTGAACTCCTTAGTGCTTTGGTGATGTGCTGTCTCCAGAACAAAGAGCAGGAGGGCTGCAGAGTCACAGCAGAGATGGACTTTTTCCAGTGCAATAAACTGCCTTTCAGAGTCAGTGTGAGCCTTGCTTTGGTGGGGTAGGAACCTGCAAGCGCCAGTGAAGCTTTGGAGATGCCAGAAAGGGTCATATGTGAGCAAAGAGAGCAGGGCAGCCCCTCTCCCTGGCAACTCTCCTTCTGACCTGTGCCTTTACAGGTGATTTTGGGGACTTCCCTGCTGGAGGAGCAGGGAGGGAAAGCTTTTGGGGGGAAAGTTTGTGACTCACATATCTAAATCTTGCCAAACTTCTCCCCTCGCCTCAGAGTCTTTTGCCAGCCACATCCTGGTCTGAAATGCTGGGAACTCTTCTCTGGGCAGACCCTAAGGGTGGTGGCCCCTCACTCAGAGACCCCCAGAAAGCTCGCCCAAGGCAAAGGCTGAACAGCCTCTGAGACTGCCCACACCTCATGGTCTGGACTCTGAAGGGTGGCACATCAAGTGAGGGAGCTCCCATCAGTACTATCTGTCAAAAAAGACAAGCTTTTATCTTTGTCTCTTTTTCCCTCTCCTTTCCACATTCCTTCATTCCTTTTATTTCTGTCTTGCCAGCCTCTGTACTTCCCTGGCCTGATGTCTCTATCTGGACTCCTATTCTGCATAACAGATGGAGCTTTTACCATCTAATAATTCCTTGGAAAAAAAAAGCAAAAGTGAAATCTGTAAACAAACCTCACTATAGTTATATTTGCACCCCTGAGTAGGAAACACACAAATGCAAACAACATCCTAGGCAATACAAGAGGGGACCTCTTGAGATATTTTGGTCCATATGCCTGGTCAAGCAGGGTCCATTGGAACAGGTTGCCCAGTCAGATTTCACCTGCCTCCAAGGCACAATGGGTGGCAAGTGGCTGAGGCCATCCCTGCCCATATTTTGGGTGCACGATGCCAATGTCACAGTGGCCACTGTGACCTGTGGGGCCAAGGGCACAAACGCTGGGCTCAGGCTGTGTGTCAGTGTGGCCTGACAATGGGAGGAGGGATGGGGCTGAGCTGCAATCTCATTCACTGCCCACTCCTTAGAACCAGTGGAGGAACACCTGGAGGAGCACTCCAGGGACAGGGACCATGTCAGACAGGAAGGAGGAGCCCCCCGAAGTGAGGGAGCCAGGTGAGAGCAAAGTGCCCCTCCCGCAGCCTGGCAGAGGGGCTGTTGGGGTGGCCAGTGTGGGGCCAGGAGTGGTGGCATGGGGAGGCAGGAGCTGTCCAGCCATCCCAGGGCTGGGACCCTCCTTTCCTCAGCAAGCAGGGCCCAGCTCTGGCAGGGGACATCTGCTGGGACACCCGTGCCCACCATGTCCCATCCTCCCCAAAGCCTCCAGCCCTGCCCTTCAGCCAGCCAGGTAGGGACAGAGCAGCCTTGGCGTCGATCCCGCAGGGATGCTGCCCCGGCCCTGCAGAGGTTCCATTGTCTCTCTCCCTTCCAGCATGCCTGCTGTCAGAGGCTGACCTGGACATCTGTGGGGAAAAAATGCAGAAATATGGGCTCTGTGCCCACGTGTTCTGCCTGGTGAGTTGCTCCGTGGGCTCCTTCCAGCTTTTCAATGGGCAGTTCCCACTACACTCTTCTCATTAGCACCTCATCTTTTCTCTCCTGCAGTTTTTTGCTAAACTTTTTCCACAAAGAAACAAGAAAGTAGGATTCCTAGGCCTTCTCCCCAAGGATATCCAACATACAGTTGACCAGGCAGCACAGAAGGTGAGAGGCTGACTAGAGCAGGGAGAACTGTGCCAGGCAAGGTTTGCTGGAGCTTAGCCCAAACTCCAAGAAAGGAAGCCCAGCCCTTCCAACCAGCTCTGGGACAAGGAGGAGGCCCTGAGGCTGCTGTTGATGGGGCTGCTCTGCTCTTTCCAGAGATGCTGCGTCTGTGGCCAGAGCGGGGCCACCATCACCTGCTGCGAAACAGACTGTGACCTGAGCTTCCACCTGCCCTGTGCCAAGGAGGGAGGCTGTGTCACCCAGTTCATTACACCATACAGGTACCTCCTGTCCCCTCCTTCCCACCACCAGGGAAGGGCCGAGCACTTCTCACCTAACCCACCCCTTTTCCCCCCAGCTCCTTCTGCCCCACACACAGCCCACAGCAGGCAGTGGAGGCGACTCTGGAGCCGGGCACCGAATGCCTCATCTGCATGGAGCCTGTGGAGGACAGAAAGACCTTCAACACCCTGGTGTGCCCAGCCTGCAAAACCACCTGGTTCCACAGATACTGTATCCAGAATCAGGCTATCCATTCTGGATTCAACATCTTCTGCTGCCCACGTTGTCAAAATGAGTATCGATTTCTGATGGAAATGTTTATCATGGGGATACGAATCCCCAGGAGGTTGGTATTTTTTCTTCACAGCTCACAACACAGGGGGTGCAAGTGCTGTGCTGTGCCAGGGCCTGCCTCAGCAGTCCTGGCCCTGCACTGTTCTGTGAGTCCCGGGTTCAGATTCACACTGGAGTTGGAAATGGCACAGAGGGAAGAGTAGGAATGCCCTGCACCTGCCTGCCACTCTGCTATCAGGGTCTCATCAATTTTCCCTTCCTTTCCCAGAAGGGGACCATCATGGGAGGAAGATGGTGCCTATGGGCAATTATATGAGAGACACAGCCGCTGCAATGCCAGTGAGTGCCTTTTTCCAGGAGGCAGGCAGGAGGCAGAGGAACAGGGGTAAGTTGCCAAAGCTGCACCCCGGGACTCTGCAGGGGACCTGTGCCCCAGCAAGGGCTCGAAGCAGAAGGACCCAGGAGAAGAGCTCAGCCAGATAATCCCACATTTTGGACACTTTGTCCTCACCTCCATGAACCCCGTTTGCTTCCCCAGGCCCTGGAAACTGCTCCTGTGCTCCTCCTGTGCTGCCGAGGGCACCAACAGACACTGCTCTGGCCTGAGGGACACCATAACCAGATGGGAATGTGACAACTGTGCTGGTCTGGGCACAGGTAAGAGGCAAAGCACCCTAGTGACCCTGGGCCTGGCAGTGGGAGCCCAGTGTCGGTTTGGCAGATCCTGTCTGCTCCGGGAGGGCTGGGGGCACTGCTCTGGCCTATCCTGCCCTGGGCCTGGGGCGGCCTTGACATTCCCGCTTCCCCTTACAGCCTCCAGAGATGACTCAGAGCTCAGCATGGACAAACAGTTGGGATTGGAACCTTCCCACAGCCTGCCAGCACCTGACATCATCAGCCCCAGCACAGGCAGCCTGGTGCCATCAGGGCTGTCTCACAGATCATCTCTAGCACCTGAGACCAGCAGCCAGGCAGAATCAGGACAGTCTCTGGAATCTCCCTCTCTAGAGACCAGCAGCTCCAGCACCACCAGCCAGGCATCATCAGGGTCTGCCTGTGTCTCTCATGATCTAGAAAGTGGCAGACACTCCAGCAGCCCTGGGCCTGTGTGGATCTGATACCATTCCCGCCTGCAACGTCAGGCCCAGAATCCCCACAGCCAGCCTGGACACGGGCACTGGGCCTGCAGTGCACCATCCCGGAATGCTGGCCCTGATCCCGCTCCTCCAGCACAATAAAGTGCACTGGAAGGCACCACACTCATATGTCAGCTTCCTCCTCCTCCTTCTCTCTCTCCATGGGCAGCATTGAGGGCTGGGCCCAGGGCATCATTGTCTCCCAAGGGTTGGCAGCACCTTCCCCAGCCTCCTTCTTCTCAAGGCCAGCCTTGACTGGCTCCCCAGCACCATGGCTGAAAGGTTTGGGCCTCACTGGCCCCAGGGGCTGCTGTTCTGAGGCAGCCCCAAGGCATTAACTAATAACTGTGGAGCTCCCAAAACTCAGCAGCTTTCTTTGGATGTCAGCCATTCCCATGGCTGTGACAGGTGGCTTCACAGGGTCCTGCCTTTCAGCTCTGGGTTCAGAGCAAGGAAAGCTCTCGTTGTAACTCTCTCAGGGCTGACAACAGTGTCTGGCCACAGGACCATTACACTGGGCCACTGGGAGCAGAATTCTTTATGCCCTGAAGTTTGAAATTGCGGGGGTTTTCCTTGCTGTGTAAACCCAGGTCTCCTACAGCAGACTCACCGAAATGTAAAGGCTTCTTCCTAGGAAACAATAACTTTGCAGTCTTTCCTCTTTCAAAGTATGGGGAAATCACACCATCACACAATTCAGGCAGTCTTTCCATCTTAGCACCGGGCACTGGGGCACAGTCTTACACCCTGCAGACTTTCTGAATAATTCACTTCTGGGAAGCAACTGATTTTCTACACTTCTGCCTCTGTTTACTTGTCTCTGCAAATATGACAACTATCTCCTTGACACAGTCCTTGAGCTCACACGCAACTCGAGGTCAGGTATGGGAAACAATCCACAATTCACACGTGCAGATGATTTCACCATTTGGTGGAGCTCAAGAAACGGCTTTTTTTCCTAGAAGCCACGTTGGGAAAGTTCTTGAACTCGGGAGATCTTCCTCCCAGTCACAAATCTGGACCTGCCTAAGTCTTTGGAGCACCTGGGACTACACAGAGAGAGCAACCACGCAGCCTGAGCCGGACTTATCCCTCACAGCCTCAGCCGGACTTACTTATCCCACACAGCTGGAGCCGGACTTCCCGCCACGAAAGGGCTGCAGACAACAGGACCGCCCCAGGCGCAAGATATTTGTCAATGACTGTGGACCCACCTAACACACGGTCAGAAGGGGCGTCGGGCAGTCGGAGATCAGGTCCCGCTGTCCCGCCCATCCGTCCGCCCCGCTCACCGCCCATCCCCGCTCGCCCCGGGGGAGCTGCCGCGCTCATGGCGCTGGGCCGGGGCGTGCTCGGCCTCTTCAGCCTCCTGCTGCTGCCGGCGGCCGGTGAGCGCGGGGCGGGCGGGGGAGCGCTGAGGGGGATGCGCTGAGGGGGAGGGTTGAGGGGCTCCGGTGTCGCTTCCTGAGGCGGTTCCGCGGCCGGGGCTGCGCCCCCCGGGAGGACCCGGCCGGAGCCCCCGGCGGGGGTGAGCCCCAGGCTGCGGGCAGGGCCCCCTCAGCTCGGCCGCCCGTGCCGGGGCGGGGGCTGAGGGACGGGTGGTTCTGGAGCGATGTGGCCCCAGCGCCGGCGGGAGGTGGCACGGCGGCTTTGGGTTCGCCGGGGGAAAAGTTCCGCGGGAAGTGAGGTGGGTTTGCGTTAGCCGGCAGAAATTAGTGCCTGGGAGTGACTGTGAGGCCACGCCTGGTGATACGGGCTGCTGGTGACTCAGGTAAGGCTGCTGCAGAGAAACGATGGACCGACGCGGCCGCCGGTCACTCCTGATGCATCCCATTAAAAACCTTCACCTTGTCACCCCTCCTTCCCCCACCCAGTAAATTCTACCCTTTTACAGCAAGATAATAGACATACTCAGGTGTTAAGTGATGATATTGCATAAACAACACTGCTTATGGAAGCTTGTTTGATAATAGTGTTCATACATAGCTGTCAAATGCTAAAACTGATAATTGGGCTTTTTTCAGTAGTCCTGTCTGTAGCTATTTTGTTATTGTGCTTAGAGGATGGACTGTGTGCTCTCCCCTAGCTTTGTTGTTGTGATGACAAAAAGCAAATGCGAGCATAGGACTTAGCAGGTGAAGTCTCAGAAAAGGAGAAGCACTACTGATATTGTATGCATCAGTGGCATCCCTCTTTCTGAGGGATCATATTTTGCACAGATGTGCAGGAAAGGTGATTGTGACATGCAAGAAGACATTTAACTTAGTCAGAGTGGTCCAGGATCACAGTTTGTCTGGGGGGGGTGATCTGAAGTGCATGTGGCTGAAATACTCAGTTTTATCTGTAAGTACTTTGAGGGGTAACCACCAGAAAAAGGGTCCTTTAAGCTGAGTCACCATGACAGTGCTACAGCAGTAACTGTGTGGCTTCAAATAAGTAAAGTTGGAAGTTAGAAGCGTTCTTACTGGGATAGTTGGTGACTTTTGGTGGGAAAAGTTTAGCAGCTCTGCTCTCAAGGTGGAACTTGGTTAATCTGATAAAGGGTTTATGTGGTACTGATTGTGTGAAATCATCTTGCTGTCCTGCAGGGTAGGTTGAACCCCTCAGTAGCAGATACACCAAAATAGGAGGTCATGTCTGCCTGCCTCAGGTTCAGCCCTTCCGTAGTGGTGAGTTGGGTGTACACTGGGCCTTTTCTGAGGTGATTCAGTTCAGTAACCCATCAGAAAACCATGTGAGGAAAAAAAGTCCCACAGGTTGACCTGCTGATGAGCTGGTGAATCAAATCAGTTGAGGAAGAATCCAGCAGGGGCCACAGCTGATGGAAGAAGCGAGGAACAAAGCAGAGGCACTGAAATATTTACTTTGGTGTGCTCAGCCCTTGCTGGTGCAGCTCAGCTGCCTGAGAACTGGCCTAGACCTTTGGTTTTCATTGTTATTTGATTGTGCTGCAGTAGCACGATTGTGAGATGGAGGGAGGAATTTTCTTGGTTGCCTTGTTTTGTTTGTAATTTCACAAGGTGTGTTGGAATCAGTTTAGCTACCTGTCATTCATTGCCTTATAGGGGATACAGGAGGGATAAACCAGCCATAAGCTTGTGTAAACCTGTTAGTCGAAGTACTGTGGTATTGGTACAGAAGTTCCTCTTTGTTTCTGTTTAGTGAACCTCCACATTTAACCCCTGGAACATTTTTTTTTTCTTTTTATCCTTGGCTGAAATCTTTAGGTATGTCTTGATGCCAGGGAGTCAAGATTGAGTTTTCAAATGCTATAATCAGTTTAAATACTCCAGGAAAAATACTCCTTACTTTTCTACTGAAGGAACAGGATTTGTTGTCTTTGCCTCTTGTTTGCTTTCTCTGAACAACTACACTTGAAGGAATTTGAACTTTTTGGATGGAGTGTAGTTTGGGAGCAAAATATCAGGGTATGTCGTCTTAATGCGATAAGTGATAGGAAGGAAAATGAGGAATAGAAACCATGTGACTGCAGCATTTATCACTGAAAAATGAAGTTATGCTTTTCTCGGGAAGTGAGTTTTGCTTAAGCTTTGAGAAGTATTTTTATGTGACAGTTGGAAGCTTTTGATATGCTGTTTTTATGTTGCAGTTAATTTGGGTTTGGGAGGGTAAAGAGAGAGAGAGGAAACAGCCAGTTTGTTAAGGAATGTATCAGCCCAATGCAGTGCTGAGAAGCATGGGATGTCCCCTCAGGAAGCCGTCCTAGTACATGAACATCCCCATTTCCTTACCACTGTAGCTGCACCAGCTGATGCTTGCAGTGGGAAGATGCCACTAGACTGATTTTAGTCCTAAAAATCTCTGTTGTACGACACCTGTTTTATGCAATGGATTAACAGGATTAGGATCTTCTGCAAAGAAAACGAAGCAACAGGCAGAAACAACCAAGTCACATGGAAATCCAAACCTGCAGTGAATGTGGCAATGTTGCATCATTTGCATCAAGTCAAATCTCTAGGAAAATTTAACATTTTCTTCTAACTGATCATGGGGCTTGTGTGGTATTTTTAACATATCTGGCTACTCATGTTACTTTTTTGAATCTTTACAGTAATTTGGTAGCTACTATCAGATGCAGCAAAGAGAATATCACCAGCATCTCATAAGTATATTTGCATGCCTTTAGTCCTTTGTGCCTGTGTGAACACTTAGATAGACCTGCTTGAAGAAGATGATACTTTGTGTGGGGAATATTTGCCTTTGCTATACACTAAAGGAAATATTGGGTTTGTTAGACCTAACCAAAATTATTGTAATATTTAAGTGTTAACCTAGGTACGCTGATTAGTATAAGAAAGAGACTTTATATGATTATTTCTTTAGTTACTAACTATTGTTTTATAACTCTTTTCAGCTTTGGGTGAGGATTGTCAGGCATATATTGATTATTCTGGCAAAGAACAACCTGCACAATCCTGTCCTGACTTCTGCTGTGGAAGTTGCACAAATCGATTCTGCTGCTCTAATGTAATATTAAGATTTGCTGAACAATTTCAGTGTGTTCTACATAATGGAAGGTAGGAGGCAAACTGAATGTATACAACAGATTATAATTCTGTCATTAAATGACAAAAATACACAGTTTAATGGTTAAACCTTCCTAAGAGATCTTTCAGCTCTATATTTGGCTCTGTCCAGGATCAGCACTAATGCTTGTAACTTGTAAAATGGGAACAGTGAGGTGGGTAAATTGATGCATGAACTGATGTGTGTCTTCTTGAGCATTTTCAGATACTTACACCCAATTTAATTTTTCTTCGAGGATGTCTCTCCCAGGAGATCTTCTAAATAAGATTCAAGAGACCCAACTAGGAGAATTTTGGGATAAGTTTGACAAGACCGAGTTTGAAGACGAGGCAACCAAAAAAATCCGTGAATTGATGTCCAAGAGCTGGTTGGGACAAATCTTTAATATTCTTGGTTTTACTGTGGTGGGATGGCTCTGAGGCCCGATACAACATGCAATAATGTTTGTTGTAACGATTTCACTGTCAGTATTAGTATATCCTGTGTAAAGTCCTGGTTATTGAAAGCTATAACTTCACACTTTAGAATGCTTTGGGTTTAGGATGCCGGCTGTGTACCACTGGTACCTACTCCAGATAGAGAATGTTACCAAATGAAAGACATGCCAGGTGAGGAGAGAGGACACACTCTAAACCAGCCTATTGTGGAGTTGTGTCTGTAGTCACAGTGTGGATTATGTGGAAAACTGCCAGCCTTGCTGTGGAAAATTGATGAGGCTGGTTGAGCACAAACATGAGCTGAGCCGTTGCTTATCTTGCACCTGCTTCAAGCAAGGCTTAGCCAGTGAATGATGTCTGGGGTGAAGTGTTGGCCTCAGCTCAGTGTTGTCTCTGTGAAGCACAGAAGACCACCCAGACCTCTGTATGGAGATGTGAGCCTCACTCCCCCTTACCCAGGCATAACAGTCCTTGTCAGAAGTATAAATCTGGTCCTTGGAGGACCTAGTGATGTGTGGCTGTAATGTACTGGTGGGGACAAAGACTATCAGGCAAAGGTCCAATGGCCTTTACTGCTGCCCCAGCTGGGTGGAGGAGGGAGCAACACTGAAGTGTCACAGTTCTGTTTTGCCTTTGATTCAGCCATAAGTCTTATAACTCAGTTTGACTGAAGGTAACAGAAACCCTCGTTATAAAATTGATATTTGGAATCCTCCATGTAGAGGATGAGAATATAACCCCACTTTGCAGCCAAGTTGCTGTGCTTGCTCCTCTCTCCTCCCCAAAGCAGAGATGCCTCAGGGATGCCTGTCAGCATACCCAGGTGAAACTAAGCTTAATTAACAGTGAAGGTAAGCTTAGTGACAAGCTGGATTTGTTAATCAGTGGCCAACCTTAGTTATTTAGCACTAATTCAGTAAGTACATTGATCCATGGCTATTCTGAATCTATTGTCATCTCAATGAATGATCTGGGGGGTTTTTTTGGACTTCGCAAAACTGTCTTGGAAGGTCTTTGTCAGGCAAATGTCAAATCCATACTCTTAGTGCCGCAGATGACAATGTGAATCTCTTTTTAGTGTACATTACTTTTCATAAGCGTATGGAACTTAGTCAGGTAACTTGAATAAGTCATGAATTCATCTCAAAAATGGAATTTTCTTGCTACAGGATCTCTGACTCAGACCTGGGGGATTTTCAGGACCCTGATGATGACGTGCCTCTTGGCCTCGGGTAAGCCATGCAAGCTTTTAAAATGGGATTTATTTAGCAATTCTTCATTGTGTAATCAGTACAGTGGACTTGGCAGTGCTGGGTTAACAGTTGTACTTGATAATCTTAAAGATCTTTTCCAGCCTAAACCGTTTCATGAATCTGTGCTGGAATGTGAGAATAGAAATACTTACCTGCGTGCTAAGAGTGTGGAGCACTCAAAATCTATGTACATGTCAGAAGATGTAGAGACATGAAGAAGTTGGATGGTGCTATTTTGACCATAACAATCTGTGTATGTAATAGTCCATATCCTCCCTGCTGAACAGGAGGTTGAAGCATTAGCACAGAATTGCAGAACAGCTGGAGTTGGAAGGGACCTCTGGAGATCATCCAGTCCAACACCCCTCCCCAGGTAGGGTCACCTGGAGCAGGTGACACAGGAAACCATCCAGTTGAGCTTTGAATGTTTCCAGAGAGGGAGACTCCACTCTCTCCCTGGACAGCCTGTTCCAGTGCTCTGTCACCCTCAGTGAAAAGAAGTTCTTCCTCATGTTGAGGTGGAACATCCCATGTTTTAGTTTATGGCCGTTACTCTTTGCTCTGCAAAAATCCATAGTGGTTGAGGAAGAGAATCTGCTTTTGTTTGAAGTATCTCCTTGGTTTTCTGGCATCTTTTGCCCTTAAGTTTTTAACCATATTTCTCCTTCTGTTTCAGTCTGTGGCAAAAGTAAATTCCTTTAAGGCTATGTCAGTGATGACAGGAGTCCTGTTGTAAAAACGTGTCAGCTTTTCACAGTGTGGAAGATGACGAAGAGAGGGTGGGGTAGATCATAGAATGTTAAGGGGTTGGAATGGACCTTAAAGATCACCTAGTCCCAACCCCTTCTGCCATGGGCAGAGATACCTCCTACTAGATCAGTTTGCTCAAGACCCCATCCATCCTGGTCTTGAACACTGCCAGGGTTGGGGCAGCCACAACCTCCATGGGAAACCTGTTCCAGTGTCTTACCACCCTCACAGTAAAAACTTTCTTCCTACTATCTAACCAAAATTTCCCCTCTTTCAATTTGTACCCATTACTCTCTGTCCTATCACTGCAGTTCCTGATAAAGAGTCCCTCTCCAGCTTCCTGGAAGCCCTTTCAGGTACTAGAAGGTTGCTAAGAGGTCTCCACACAACCTTCTCTTCTCCAGGCTGTCCAACTCAGAATCACAGAATATGCTGAGTTGGGACCCACAAGGGTCATCTAGTCCAACTCTTAGCCCTGCACAGGACCATCCTTAAGAGTCACATCACATGTCCAAATGCTTTTTGAGCTCTGTCAGCCTTGGAGCTATGACCACTGCCCTGGGGAGCCTGTTCAGTTCCCAGCCAACCTCTGGGAGAGGTACCTCTTTCTAATATCCAGCCTAAACCTCCCGTGACACAACTTCAGGCTGTTCCCTGGGGTTCTGTCACTGGTCCCCACGGAGCAGAGATCAGTGCCTGCCCCTCCCGAGGAAGCTGTAACTGCGATGAGGGATGAGGTCTCCCCTCAGTCTCCTCTCCTCCAGGCTGAACAGACCAAATTCCTTCAGCTGGGCACTTGGCTTCCCCTCAAGGCCCTCTCAGCCCGTGTCCGTAGGGGAGGTGCTCCAGTCCTTTTATCAGCCTCGTGACCCGCTCTGGACTTGCTCCAACACTTCCATGTTGGAGTAAGGAACACTTTCTGTTGGAGACAGCGGAGCGGCGCGCGGCGATGCCGAGCGCTGTCTGACGGATGCCTGTGCGTAGGTGCGAGCGGCGCAGGGCGGCGGGAGGGACACTCGGGCTCCCCTTTAAGGGGCGGTGCGGGGCGCGGTGACGTGCGCGGGGCCGGGCTGCGGGCGCGGGGCGAGCGGCGGCGAGCATGGGGTAAGCGATGGGGCGAGCGGGGCTCCGGGCGGGGCTGGGGGGACCCTGCCGGCCGGGCTGGCACCCGCCGTGCCGTGGTGGGTCCGCCCGGTGCTCCCGCTGCCTCCGGCGGGGCTGTCGCGGGGCGCGGGCTCGGCACCGGCGGCGAGCGGGGCCGTGCGGGCGGCATCGCCCCCGCGGGGGTCGGGGCTCTGCGCCCTCCGCGGCACAGCCGGGCGGAGCTCCCCGCCCTGTGTAGCTCCAAACGCATCTTTTCCTGAGCGGGAGGAAGGAGCCGCGCTGGAGGCACCTAAAGGCAGCGCTGCCGCGGCGGTGTGCGGGCGGTCCATGGGTGTCTTGGAGCCTTGGTCGCTTTTGGCGAGGTGTCTTCCATAAGGAAGGGCTGAGACAGCAGATATTTTGGAGGAGGGATGCCCCTATGAGCTAGGCTGATCTTCCCTGTCTTCAAATATGTGGTTGCAGTACAAAAGCCGTGAGCCTTATCTTGCAGTCAGCCTTGCTCTCTTAGGAAGGAGCACTTGAATTGCTTTAATTATCTTTGTTTTCGGCTATGGAATGTCTGAAAAAGAGAATCATGGATGTCTCAGCTTGAGAAAATGGATGATTTCGCTTTTCCCTTTCAGTTACATTGCAGGATTGAAAAATTATTGTTGTGCAAAGGCCTAGACTTAACATCAAACTTTCTGGTTAGGCAATTTTATTAGAAGGTTGATAATTACTCACAGAAGTACTGTCCTTCAAAAGCCACCCGGATGTGACTCCAGAGGAAAACCACATCTCAGAACTTTCCAAAATGACTTATGACTGAGGTGTCCCATTCAGAGTGTTTCAACACTGGGAATTGCAGTGAGTGAGACTGTGACTGCAGCCAGCAGGACACCAAGTAGGTTTTTGTTTTGTTACAGACATTGCCCAGGGTTTTGTGTGGTGTGTGTTGAGGTTTTTGTATGTTGTTTTAACCAAGTAGCAAGCTGTATTCCTTCTGGAAGAGTTGTCCCTGGTTCCTTCCTGCAAGGTATGCTCCACCCTCTCTCTCCATGCCAATTTCTTTTAAAAGACAGGTTTTGCATTTTTCCTTGATGACTATGTTTACTTAATACTTTATTGTGTAGAAAGAAGGTGTGATGTCAGTTGGGATATCTCTTTGTATCTCCAACAAGATAACCACATTCTTCAAACCATTTGTAATGTGAGGAGAGGCAACAAAGGGCAACTTCCTTTAGTGCCCTGCTCTTTCTCATGAGTTGCAAATACTACCTTTGACACTGCCCTTGAAAAGGAGGAGGTGATGGTTTCCTGACATTACAGGTCAGAAAGCATTTAGTTCCCCATTCTTGCCTCAAGCTTATTTCTAGATTGAGTTACCACCCTGACACATGGCTCATAAATCCTGGGTTTTTAAGAGAACTTCCCCTCTCTGAGGGCTTCTCACAAACTACCCCTGGACTTGCTACTAGACCCTGTGGTGTCTCTTCTCCCAAGGGAAGGGTTAATGCTGGAATGTATGTTCTCTGTCTTGTCTAGCTCAGGAGTTTTAAGTTTGCTTCTACTGTTGCTTCTTGGCTGTGTTTATTCTGAGGTCTTCTGCAGAAGTGCAAGCAAAGCACCAGTTTTTTGTAGGTTTCTTTTTATTATTATCCTTTAATATTAGCATCTTTCAGTGTTTAATACCGATTATCATGTGCTGTTGAGGCAGGAGTGCAAGGCACTTTGGGCGATCCTGTTAAATGTACTTCACAGTGCAAGCAGTAGTCTTTGGACATTTTAAAGACAGTAAATTACATTCCTTTGGAGTGTCTTAATAATGCACTTTTAAGTACTTGAAAGCACTTTGCTTCCCAGAATACTGCATTTGGAAGCAAATGGAAGCATTCTAGGAAGAGTATAGAAATCAGGGTTAACTCAGATTCAGGTTTTTTTCTGTTGTTGGTCAGTCCTTAAAGATACTGTGGAGCTTTTAGGTCAGAGAGTAGAAGTGGGTTTTATACCACTAAACTTGATAAATTTGCCACCATTTTTCCTTGCATGTGAGATATGACCATAAGCAATTTCTGCAATTTCTGCTGCTAGAGAATGCATTGTGGCAAGGATTTACCACTGGAAGTCGTTTCAAGGTTTTTCCCCCCCTATTAATTGGATTACTGAGTTTTCCCTGCTTTGCCCTGGTTTCAGAGATGGATTGTGAGCAGTAAGGGTAATTTAGTTAGTTTTCCCCTTTAATTCTGCTGTACATAGTATACTTGTTTTAAGAAACTGTGCAAAAAGCAGAGCACTGATTCACCGGGACAGTTCTTGTTATAATTTGCATTGGTAACTTGGTTATTTAGCCTTGGTATGCCAATTTTCCTTACTGGAAAAGGAAATTAGATGACTCACATCAACAATTCAAGTAATTGTGAAGTATTTGAGTGTTTAAGGAGGTAGAGCAATTCAGAACATCTGTATCAAGAGTTACAGAAGAAAATAATGTAGTTGGGGCAGCTGATACCAGGTTTTCTAATTGGAAACAAAACTTCACATTGTCTGTGTACACAGTTAATTGGACTCTGTTTCTAAATTAATTTGTGCCTTGAAGTTACAGCAGATTTGTGTAACAGATCCGGGAATGCTTGAGGAAAGGCTGTTCGTCCTTATGTGATGGGAAGAGGGAGGCAGAATGTACAGCTTCCTGGGAAGCCTGGGCCAGCAGAGACAGACCAGCCTTGTTGCCCTGGGGATGTGCTCATTTGGGGTTTGTCAGAGGCTGAGCAATTTGTTGCCTTGTGGCTTAGTTGTCCTTTTGTGAAATGGAGAAGATCCATGTCATTCTGCCTGCCTTTGGCTGAGATGCAGCATCTGAATAGTCTGCTGCAGGCAAAACTTGGCAAAACCAGTGTATCTCTAACAGTGGAAGATGTAATTATCCTAATTTGCTTTCTCTCAGTGTAGGTGTCTTCAAGGCTGTGTTTTCTCCACAGACAAGGTCAAAAATACTGTGATATTAAACTATAACCTGTTTCTCCTCCTCCCCTATCACTATCAGGGACTCCAGTTTACACTTTCCAGAGTATTTGGGTACTCCAGCATCTGTAATAGGTTGGCAGGGGTAAGAGAATAAATCATGAGGATTATTACAGAATCACAAA